GGTGAGATATATAAGAGAAAGAGTGCGGCTGACCACTGCAAATACAGACAAGTCCATTGCTATGTAAATGTATTATTTTATCTGAAAGTAAGAGAAAAGAGCCTCTGTCTATTTTCCTGTATTAGACCCAAAAATGGACACGTCTTGTTTTCAGGTTTTCAATTTCGCAGTCTCCTCAAAGCCTCTCTAATAGCAAGAGTTCAAAGGGTAAAAAGAAAATCCTTTGTGAAGGTAGGTCAAAGGCCAAAGTTCATATTGGTGAAGCATGCATGTATCCAGTAGAGTATATTATCATAAGTATCAACTAAAGGGTCACAGAATATGACATGTGTAGTTAGCCGGCAAAAGTTGAGGACGTACACAAGCAAGATGGTCGAGACTGACGACTGTGTAACCCATACCCTGATCGTCCACTTCTTTGTCCACTTTTAACTGCGTGGACCAGCATGCTTGCCAGAACACGACTACTTTTACACCTCTGTGCACTAAATGCGAGCCTCGGAGTAAAGAGATGCATATATATATATCTCGCAGTTGACAGTAATACACGATTTCACTATATACGGTAAACTTTGCTTAACAAGAAGCGGTTTAACAAGAAATTCCTGTTATCAAGAAAGGACGTAAAATCCTCTCCCCCCCCCCCCCCCCATCCTATGCATTGTCGCTTTCTATATTAAGATAAAATCTGCTAAACACGAAGAAATTCTTTGATCCTTTTGTCAGGCTTTTTCAAATCAAATGGCATAATAGAAAAAGGAGATACAAGCAAGATGATCCCCACCGCCTCCTTTCCCTGATCGTAATGTTCTTGACCAACTTTCAAACGTCTCAGTGCCATGCCATAAACTAACCTTGCATAAACTGATCCCACTCAAAATGACAAAACTTATGATCCACACTTAGTATAAATTATACACGTACCATATCAAAATGTATTAAAAAAACCAGAATATACAACTATATACATAGACACTAATATTTAATGAAGACTATATACACTTAAACATTTTTAAAGAAATTGCACACAAAGACTACCCCGATAACAAAATAAAAAGGAAAAAAGGAAAAAAATGCTGATGCACGTAAGTGAACTTGTACTTTGTCAGCATCTTTCCACACCCACCATAAATCAACTCCTGAGGTTTTTCAGATAAAGATGTGTTGTTTACTAGAACAGCGTCCAGGTCATACTTCTGAATCGTTTGCTCTCTTTTTCTTTGATTTTCTCAAAACTTCAAATAGTGACTTTGGCGTTTGTAGAATGATGCTGACCATTTGTTGCCAAAAATACTACCATAGTAATACTATCACAGTAAAAGAACACATAATTACATAAAAGTACCCAAAAATGCTGATGATGATTCATTTGAAAATGTAATTGCCACGAAAAATTTGATTGCAGCCCTCTCCCCCCCAAAATAATGCTTGGGTTAAAATGAGACATGAGAATAAAAGCACAAAGGAACCAGTGTTGAAGTATTATCTGGTATGACCACATTTGGTTTCCTTTACGAATTTTGACAAGCCTTGTTAAATTTGTTGATAATTTCTACTTCATTCTATAAAGTAACCTTCTCTATACCAGACTCAAACTCTCGTATTTTGCATGCAGAGGCAAAGAACTTAACCACTACATCAAAGACACCATTTGCAATTTGCTGCTTTCCTCAAAATTCCACATCACAAATGCTAAGCAGACAATTTGAAAGGTTTTCACATCAGAAAAAGATGACGTGATCTTTGTTTGAGAACCCGTATACATTTTTGACAATTTGTTTCTCCTTAACACATTGGTAGATGACAAGATAGCTAAAAATAATACTGTGAGTGAATAAATAATAATGAAAGAAAATGGAAGAAAATGGAAGAAAAAAATAAAAAGATTACCAAGCAATAAGATAAAAGTACAAAAGTATTACAAATAATGGCCCTGAAGGTAAAGTGCATCAAAATTTACGCAGCAGTCAGAGAAAGAGAAGTAATGTCCATTAGAGTGGGGGGAAAAGGGAAGGGGGAGGAGGGGGAGATACATGTAGACAAAAAGGGAAGACAGAGAAAGTCTGGCCACTAGAAACTTACCCAGAACCTAAAAGAAACAGGATTTATCTCACATCTACAGCTTACAAAGATTGATGATCGATTGATTGACGAACTGAACCCAGAAAAAAAAGGATCTTCATCTCACACATATCTTAAAAAGATTATTACTTCTAGTGTGGAAAATTCTGTTGTAAAGAGTATCACAATATGTTTTGGGATAAATTTTTTTTAAAAATGGGGATGCACATTAAAATTCTCCAGCCTGGAGAATTAAAGGGTCTTATAAACTTTTCCCTATCACATTTTTTCCTACAGGACCCTCACAGCAGGCTGATCTACATGAGGAGTTAGTTGAGATCACAGAAAGGTGGAGATGATTCGTGTGTTCTGCCGGTGACCTGAGCAAGAGACAGAACTACCCACAGGTAGGTAGACCAGTCATTACAATTACAGCAGAAGTACTGAAGCGGAACAAAATGCTTACTACTAGTGAACTCAGATCTAGGAGAGGAAAGAGAGGCGAGTGAGTAATAAAAAAACCAACAACCCCAGCTTCTGTGCATTGGGCGAACAAATGTATATATATGACTCTTTGCACCTACAATTTGGGTGTTTGAGTAAAGGGGAGCACACAGATGCAATAACAGTCATGTAGCTCAAGAAAAAATCAAGACAGATAAACAAGAACAATAAAGGGAAAGAACAGAAGTAGGATCTTAGTTGTTTTGTTTTAGTAGAGGTTTTTCGGCACTCGCAACTGCATGAGGTCATATGAGCGCCAGAAGATTAGAGGTGTTACAAGAGAGTAGCAAACATAAAAAAGAAGAAGGGCAGATAAGGACGACAGATGTTTGATAGGACAGAAGAAGCAAACCACACCAGAGCACCCACCAACCACCCACGAAGTAGGATCTACCCTCCCACTACTCGTGTCATGATTTATAGGAATATGATCATACCACAAAAAGAGAGGCCGTGATCTATCAATGCATAGCATAGAAAGAGTTAAAAAGACTCAAAATGCAAAGACATAGAACAAAGACAAAGAAGCACTGGCCTAATATACATTGTCTCACAGCAAGAAGCTAGCAGTAACCACTGGGAGAGGGGGGACACACAAAGGGGAATTAACCCATACAACAAGCATATCCACAGCCAAATAATAGAGAAATTACTAAATGCTAAGAATATACAATCAAGACTAGTTATTGCTGGCAAAAAGAAAGAATATGAGACAACAGAGTCTCTCATTACAAGAATGCATAGAAAAATGTGTCTGAGGAAAAAAAAACGCCTCAAAATCACTTGTCATGTCAAGCAAGCCTTGTGTTTTTAACCATATATCAGCAAACCATCTCCTCTTCCTTGAAAGGGGTGTAAAAATGTGTAACTCAAACTGACTTAACAGTTACCACAAACATCAGGATCATCACTAGACCACCTCCTCTCAAATAGCCTACACCTCCTCGAGAGGAGGGTAAATTAAACCTGCTTCAACCGTTTACAAAAAACATCCAAACCACCTCACAGCCTGAACATCGAAGCAACACCATAGTATACAGATTTAATTAAGTACCACGCACTCTTTGCAACTTCATTGTATGAGGTTAATACCAGTCGAGTAAATCTTTCCCTGTCCCAACATACCAACAATAATCCCTTTACAATAAACAATCCCTTTATACAGACTTCAACATAAGTTAAGGACCACTTGCAAACACTCTGAGTGGTCTTCTTGGGTCGACCTACACGTGGGATGTTCTGAGACTGATCCAGTGGCTTGATGGCGCTGCCTCAAGCAGACAATGACAGAGTGTGACACTGCAAGCCTTCTGACACCTTCTCGGGCTCCAACTTCATCCTGCAGCCCTGCAATAGCTCTGGTCAAAGTCTCTCAGCTTTTGTCTTGGTGGCATGTTGATGCAATACTGGATTTTGCGCAAACGGCGGCTTATATTGCCACCAAAGTGAGCACAGTTCCAGACCATAGGTCCGTTAAGACGTGCAGCAGAAATTTTAACTAAGGAATGTTCGTGGTGTCGCACACAAGTCGATAAAACAGCAAATTTGGCTAAAATTCTCCAAGGATTTCAGTGCTGCATGTGGTGATTTTGCCCCTTTAGGAAGCTTTATTGTATGCATTGGAAACCCATTATCACTTTCAGAGAAAAAAAAATTGAAACATTCCTTGCTGTCATTTTTTCTGATTTTTTACAAATCAGGGCTGTCTGTCAAGGTAGGTGGTCCTTAACTTATGTTGAAGTCTGTAATATCTGGAAACACTAGAATGCTTCAGATACAACAACGTCCACACCTCATGTAAAGAAGAAAAAAAAACCACATTGAGCAAAAATTTCACCTCAGACTGAGAGGTTATCCCTGGAGGAGAGAGCCCCTTCTCCAGTAGAAGAAAACTAGTCAACAGGAGTAGAAAAACGCTGGGAGTCGACCCCTGCCACAAAATATCTCCCTAATCTACCACACAAAAGGATAAAATGTCTGCGTGAGGGCAAAACTGTGCCAACTCCGCTGAGATAAAAAGAAATCAGTTACACGATCAGACATTTACACTGAGGAAATATTCCAGTTACACACACAGTTGATACATTTACACACACACACTATTAAAAGTGGAACACGTGAATTATTGAGTATAATGTAAAAAGTCTGAATCCAACAGCGAGTTCTAGAAAAACTAGAGACTACGACGAGTAACTTTACAAAGTTCATGTGCGACGAAAGAAGTGAAACAACTGGAGAGAATCAGGGCCAGTCAGTGAACTTAACGCACAGTAACCCTAGCTCAAAAACAGGGTGCTGCACAGTGGCAACCAGCTATAGCGTGATGATTGTCAGTACTGTTGTGACATTGTGTAGCCTACTATGAGACTGAAGAGTTATTGCATGTCGAAAGAAAAAAAGACGAGAAAGACCATAAGGCCAAGAAGATCTTTTTCTTTGAAGACGGAGCCCAAGAAATCTTTCAACAGGTACGTTTGCACTAACTTATAGGAAATTTTTTTAACCTATTCCCCTTTTTCCCAAACTTCAGTAAATTTCCATGTAAACAAAGTGTACCTCAAGATGTTCACACCAATAGTACTGTTCAGTATGTGTACAAATGTTTTCAAGTTTCAGTAATATTGTCACATTGATTTTTGTAAACCTGAAATTAAAAAAATTAAAAAACAGCCTGGCCCTTGACTTCTTTATTTCTAGGAGTGCATGTATATGACCATGTTCAATGTGAAATATGAAAGTAGAAAAAAACAAAAACCATGTGAAAACATTGGTTGCTCTCTGGAAGTGAAAAAAACAGTGGTCAACTGAGACAGCAGTCTACTGAAACAGTGGTCAGCTGCAAACGCCACATATGAGGAAAACAAACTTTTACACGAACATCAGAGTCACGAGACCAGTGTTGAATTAAAGATGGCAGAAAGTAAGTGTCAACATGAGACGAGCCTTGACTACAACAGAGACTGCAACACAGCATCTTTAAGAAAAATTTATCCCAAACACATTTTTGAAGGTACAGCACATAGATGTCTCATACTTGCTGTGTTGAAACATTTTCGACATACTGAGCAAAAGTGTTTATGATCATTTGTGTCAAAGTGTCACGAGTATAAGATTTGAAGATTGTGTTGGTCCCTGGGCAGCAAAGTGGGGAAAACGTAACAACCTGTACTTTATTTCCAGTCTCTGCATTACTTTTCTCTTTTCCACTTTGTGCTAAAAGTGGGATCCACAGACAGGTAAAACAACAAGATGATAACATGAAGGATATGCTCTCCACATAGTGTGTGTCTATCTTCCTTGGAAACAAAGGTTTATATCCCTCCGTAATGTATAAGTTTATTTCCCTCAGCAACATGTTTGTTCCTCTTCCTGCCTCGTTGACAACAAAACTGGGCGGATGGGTTATTCTCTCCTGTGCGTGAAAAATGCGAGTTTCTCCATTAATGTCCTCTCGCAGGCAGTGGGATCAGATCTCTCTCTTCCACCAGGATCCTGTGGGAAACAACATAACAGGAAAAAGTTCACAAAGCAATTAACAAGCACACACTACAACTAGTATAACTTCACGACCCTAAGTGTGATGAGTATGTTGCGGCCTCATGCCTTATTATACAGTATTCACCCAAATAATGCGGGGACTACATTCCAGAACCTCTGGCAATATGAGTGGGAAAATCCTAGCAATAATAATAATAATAATTGCATTTATATAGCGCATATCCACGCTCAAGAGCATGCTCTATGCGCTTTACAACTATTATTACCCCAGCAGACCCTTTGAGAACACTCTGAAACATTTTTGGCTTCCGCGGAAGCATACAGTGCAAGCTGCGGATTTCATGCGCTCAAACACTATCAAACTGACAAGATCGTTCACCATCTATACCCAGGTACCCATTTCCACTTGGGTGAAGTGAGGAAAATTTGTGCAAAGTGCCTTTCCCAAGGACACAACGTCGGGCCCCTGACGGGATTCGAACCCATGACCTTACGGTTGCGAGACCGAGAGCCACTAGGCCACCAACGCCACAATAAAGTAGAAGAAACAAAATATTCATTAAGTATTCTATGTTTTTATAAACTTTCCAGAAACTTATAAATCTTCCCCACTCTTAAAAACACTTTTTACTCTTGGAATAAGAGAGACCTACATTTAAAAAAAAACAAAAAACATTTGTATTTATCTTTTAATTATTGGTCATATCTTTTCCAGTACAGTGTTAATAGAGCTTCCCTGGCTCAAATAGAAAAAAATTGTGTCTCACCAAGTTGACGAAATGTGAACCATGATATGATGAGCGATTACTACATAAAAAATACCTCTTCCAGGTTGTTTCTGATACTGAGCTCTTAGTGTGTGTTAATATTCTGTTTTGGGCCAAAGAACAGACTTTTGAATCTTGTGGGATTTAACGTCATTCTAAAGATTGGAGCCTCTAAGACTGTACTTTAGATCCCTGTTTGAGCAACAGTTGCCAACAGGAAACAGACTGTTTCTCAGTTCTTAACCTATCAAAATTTGGACAAATGTCAGCACCTGTTATAGCTGATCAGGCAATAGCTCAACTAGGTAATTCATACGATGATGGGGCTGACTTCACTATAATGGAACTCGAATTCAACGAGCTCGGATTCAACGAGCTCGGATTCAACGAGAACTCGAATTCAACGAAAGGAGACGGATTTCACGTTTTTTTTCTTCTTTAAAATCAATAAAAAATAACCCGGATTCAACGAACATTTAAATCAGCAAGCTCTGATTCAACGAGGTCGCTTCCAGGGTGAACAGTCCTCACAGACATGGCTTCGCTCATCTTTCTCCCACAACGAACTTTATCTATTCCCAGAAACCATCCATTGCAACTGCATCGTGATCCATTTTTCACTTAGGCGATTGCATGCGACCAATCAGCCCCTTTCTTTCATACCAACACATGCCTTGTTGGCACACGCATGTGTCTACTCTAGCATGTATCAGGGTTAGATAGGCGGCCTGCACATGTGTGACTGTGTGTGCGTGTCGGGGGCATCATCAGTCCAGGCTTCGAATGTCCCAGATACAAACACGTCATGTTTTTCCCCCCATCGGCAACTGATCATTATTACAAGACAACGATATGTTAGTCTTGAGGTAGATCTACGTAATGAATTGTGCGCTAGTCTATGAAATAAAAAGTTGCTGTATGCTAGGCTCTAATCAGCAACACAACTTTTTGCCAAATAATTGAGATGATACAGGTGTGCATTTTAACGAATCTGCCTTTTTTTTTTTAAACAGCTCATAATATGCAAGCATTTCAGTCAGTGCTTGTAATTATCTACACAAAACCACATGTTTGCTCTAACGAACACTCCGATTCAACAAGATTTTAGGTCAGGCCTGGCGACCTAATTGAATCCGAGTTCCACTGTATAAATTACCCAGACAGAGACTTCAAGTATGTCTGTAAGTGATAGTGAAAGCAAAAGTTTGAATGATGAAGAAAGCACCAATATGGAAAATGGTAGACCTACACCTGTCAGCCACAAGACAGGCGTCAAAAACAGTAATTTTGTAATTGTAGATCTTTTCCATCCCCACTGACACAATTTAGATCATTCAAGGCCAACCTGAGCTGACAGGGTTACAATGTTTCACCAATCAGAGAGAGATACTCAATATAAATTCTCTGTAAATAAGAATCGAACTAGCATCTTCCATGAGTGACGGCACAGAGCTTGGCACATAGCTTGCCGACCTGGCCGATATCGCCCAATAGTCGGCGATTTAGATATTTTGGCAGGTGGTGGGGATCACCAGGTGTTGATAGGTATTATTTCACGAGTGTGCAATAATTACATGTAGGGGGGCGGTACAAAAATATTAGCCTCTTAAACATGGCAAAAAAGGGCGCAAGCTATAAAAACACTGGCCTGACCACTACACCACAGATTGTGGTCAGGTAGGCGTGGCGAGCTATATGAAAACAGCCACTGCAGGTAGGGATGCTAATGGTTTAACAATTGGCCGGACTCAGACTTTCACATGGAAGGCTTTAAGGGTAGGCCTCTTGGTGAAGTTGACGTATCATTCTGCTGCTTTTGTTATGCAGAATGTCTTTGCAAAAGGGTTTTTCAATGAGGAAACATGATTTGATCATCTTAGACTCGGTCTGTGAGGCTCCTAGGGCAAAACGTTTGTCATGTCTCATGAGATCAATTCCCATGGGGGGAGGTTTTGTTTTGGTTGTCTTTTTCTTGGGTTTGTTTGTTTGTTTAGTAAAGTGTTTTACGGCGCTCGCAACTGCATAGGTCATATGAGCGCGCGGGACACACCTAATATTTTTCAGTTGGTAGGAAATTTGGAATTTTGCCCGGGTGGCGGCCGAAGCCTACTCTTGTCGATTTTAGACCACCAAGGGATCTTTAACGTGCGCAACTTGCACACGGGCCCTCCGAGATTTTTCGCCCTTGTCCGAGAAGGCTAGGTGTAGATCTTTCCTACCAGAAGATCAGGGGTGTGGCAGAAAGACAGCAGTTAGGAGGAGCCAAGGAGTAGCAGTAGAAAGGCTGCAGAAAGAGCCAGGAGCCCAGAGGAGGGGGCAAAGGAGGTGAGGGGGTGGGGGCAGAAAGTGGAAATGAAAGCAGACAACAGAACATTGTTAGAGATCAGGAGAGGATGGGAAAGGAGACAATTTTAGAGAAGAAATTTTTTTTGGTCGCTACCCGGAATCGAACCCGGGACCTTTGAATGAGAGGCCAACACCTTAACCTCTAGGCCACGAGAGCCCCCCTTCTTGGGTTTCTGCGTGTGTATGGCAACATTGTAACATTGTACCTCTTTGCGCCCAGATAGCCCTGACAGGCAAGATTGAAGGTGTGCGCTTCCTACATGATCTAAATAGTGCTAAGGTCAACAAAAGACATTATAAGAAAGAAAACAGAAGTTACCTGGAATCTTCATAGAGTTCTTTGACTGCTCCGAGGCTTGGTCCATGAGCGTCTTAAAAGCTTCGTTATCACAGTTCCTGCGGGGAAGTGAGAGATGCTTACGCTTTAGTTAAAGTTTTATGGCACTTGCAACACAAATAGGCCATACAAAAGCCGAAGATCAGTGGTTTTATTAAAGAGTAACATAAAAAAGAAAAGGAGAGATGAGGGAGATAGATGTTTGATAGGGAAGGAGAAGCAAACCACACCAGAGGACCCACCAACCGCAATGACCACAAGTCAGTACACAAGTTTTCATCTACATCATCACTAGCAGGACGCACACAAAGAATACCTGCGTGCAGGAGGCACACATGTAGACCAACATACAAAAGGGACACATGTACAACACACATATGAAACATACATACACATATGGAACACATATGTACAACTGCAACACGCATATAGAGCAACACAGGTGCACAACTACAACACACATTTACGACATGCGTAGCAAATATTTCAAGAACACGTGAGAAGAACAAAGGAGTAAAACACAAAAAGACAACTCACTGAGCCTGCTTAAGTATAGAACACGTGTATAGAACACATAAAAGAGAACTCGTGGAGGCTGTAAAGTAAAAGACAAAGAGAGAATGCGCTGAGCCTGTTTACATATAGGATATAGAACACATGAGTAGAACACACTTACAGAAAATGCAAGTAGACCAAAGGAGTAAAAGACAAAGAGAGAACGCGCTGAGCCTGTTTACATATAGAACACATGTGTAGAACACACTAACAGAAAATGTGAGTAGAACAAAGGAGTAAAAAAACGAAGAGAGCACTTACTGAGCCTGTTTCTCCTCCGAGGTCCAAATCTCGTACAAGCTGAAAGTGTTGGAGTCTCTCAGGTCACGTACACTTACACTGGGGGATAAGAAAAGGTATACAAGGCTTTTATGGCACTAGCAACACAATTAGGTCATATAAGAGCCCAAGCTTAGAGATGTCACAAGAGGGTTTTGGGGGGGGTTTTAGTGAGAATTTTACAGCACCTGCAACACAATTAGGTCATAAAAGTGTCTGTGCTTTAAGGTGTTACAAAAGAGTAACAAACACTAAAAAGAAGGAGGAGAGATAAGGAATATAGATATTTGACATACATGGTGCATGTGTGTGCATGCATGTGTGTGAGTGTGTGTGTGTGTGTTAGTGAGTGTGAGTGTGTGTGAATGTGCATATATGTGTATGTGCATTAGCAATGCCAGCGCGGAGAAAATTTTGACCCCGTGTGTGGGTGAATTTTTCTCGACCAATGTGAATGAAACTTGGCAACGAACCAGAAAATCGGGCAAACTAATGTAATGTGGAAGTCAAAGTTCGTACTTATAAATTAACCTATACTTTTGGTGTCAGAAACAGTTTCGTATCGGGTACACCAAAAACTATAAGGAGTTTGATGGTAAGAGATCCATCTTTCCTCTATACAGGGTTCAAATTTGAACCTTCTGTGTCCAGTAGTTGTGCAGAATTGATCATAAACGCACGACTACCCCCCCTGTCCAAAGCGGCTTCACACTGAGACTAGCCATTTTCCCCTCACTCCCTATGCAAATGTTGTGACCTACAAATCCCCGCATGACTATTCCGAGCCCGTTCATTGGTCACTTGAAATAGGGCAATGGCGGGCGCGCCCATCCGGTTGTTTTTCTCTCTGTTCCCCTGTAACATCACAATGGGGGTACTCCGAGGCGAGCTTATCTCACCTCGGGGGGTTCGCGTCTCAATGGGAAAAAAGGGGTATCTATTGAACGGCATGCTAGATTTAATTAAATCATATTTTATGTTTGGCATGGTCTAAAGTCATCAAAGAAAGCTTTACCATTATTAAATCACGCTGCCAATGTATTCTTAAAGATCCCACGTTATAAATAAAATGCTCTTATCCTGACACCCTTTTTTCGCAAAATCGAAGTGTATTCACCTAAAGTTTTAATAATAACAAAATAACTACGAAATGGTTAGTAAATCTGACAGCAGAAATGATTTTTCCATCCAAATACACATTGGGTATCCAAGTTTCTTTCCAACACTCCAATTAATTACTGAGATATCGTTGATTTTCTTACAACATCTGCTACAGCGTGGTCCACTTTTAAGAATATTTTCATATATGTGGGTCATCTATATTTTGCCGACCTTTACAACCACATAACTTTTTAATTATGAACCGATTTTTTAAATTCAAAAAGCACAATTTTAAGACTTGAAAACTCTTCCTTAGGTACCATATAAAAAAAGGATAATGCTAAAAATTAAATTTTCATTGGCATTGCTAATGTGCATGCATGTCAGCATGCATATCACGAATGCGTGTGCCTGCATGTTTGCGAGCATGCCTACATATATATGTGGTGTATCTACTAACTTGAGACATCCTCTGAAGCCCTGTGTCACGTCCACATAAGCCCTCAGATTTGCCTGGAACTCGTCCAGCTTGTCCTGGGTCACTGTGAATTCTCTGTTGACCAGCAGCAGCTGCAGGGAACAATATTGGTTAAAGGTCAAAGGTCAATCTATTTAATAATTTAAAAGCTCCATTTTAGTAAATTTAGTTAGATAGAGAAAAGGGGGCATCTCCTATAGGATCTCATTGTGTCAGTGGGGACATAAAAAACATTTACAATAACATAGAAAAGAGATACATATTGTCACAACAACAACCATTTAGTATAGGGAAAAGGTAAGACCGACGGAAACCCCCCCCCCCAAAAAAAAAAACACAAAACAACCTGTCATGACAAGCCAGATTTTTACTGAAAATGTGTTGCTGACTGACCCACAAATGGGTGTGTACTGGGACAATGGTCCAGGGCATGAAAAGCCCTAACTGGTAGGATTCTAATACAACTTATTACCAAGAGCTGCCAAATAATCCAAAATTATCCGAGAAGATACAGAGGCAAGTTTGGATCCTCTGCTGCAGAACATCAGTAAGCCTACACCATCACCCCCCACCACCAGTGCAGTGCTACTGACTGAAGTGTCTTTAGGCCGTTCCCAAAGGGGGGATATTAACATGTTCTTCTGCACAGTAGAATTGTAAATGAACTGATTTATCAATGTCATGCTCATACTGCGTTGGAACAACATAGTGGGAATTGCTGCTTTTTCTTTCCTCACCCTTACTATCGTCATTTTTTCTCTACTTCTTTAGTATGTTTGTCACCGTCTTGTGAACTGCTATTTCAGGGGTGCCTCGATAGTCGAAGCAGATTTTGCCCTGTTGAGGCTAGAGAGGTGAGTAGAGTAAGCCTGAATCTCCGTTTGGACTTCTCCGTTCACATCCACCCCTTGGCGCTCATACGACCTTATGCAGTTGTGAGTGCCGTAAAACCTTACTAAAACTTTTTAAAAAGCCTACACTACTACACATTCTTTTTCTTATGGATGGATTTGATTTGATGAGGTGGTAAGCACAGGATGTTCGTAAAGTATGGATTTCTGTAAAAATACAGAAGATAGGAAACACTGCTAATAAGCACACACACACACACACATACTGAAACATAAGCACACACAAAGAGACACATATACATACTGAAACACACATACACAAACACACACACATCTATCTATCTATCTATCTAAGATCTATATTTTTGCCCCCCCCCCCCTTCCCCCTCTCTCTGATGCTGAAAACAATTCTGGCTTATATTCCTTAATACACAGACACACATCAACAATCCCTCTCCTCCCCCCTCCAAGCACATATTCAAAATAGACACACATCCACACATATATGCACACACATAAACATATTTATATATAAATAAACAAACACTTAAGTACACATGCGGCAGCATGCAGCCTAAATACACAGACACACACATACAGGCACACTGGCAAATGCCCTCTGTGCTTGCATACACACATGCCACACTCAAACACTGTATCATTATCCCTATAAACCACCTCTTCTCCCACACTGACAAACACACACACACACACACACATACACACACACACTTTTACTCCGGCATACCGTATCATCCTCCCCATGAATCACCTCCTCGTCTCTGAAGCCGTCAAAATTCACCTGAGAGAGACAACAAAAGATGCTCATACTTAAAAAACATAAAAATTTATTGACGCATCTGTAAACAATTTGTTGTACTGGTGACCATTTGAACAGTTTTGCAACAAAATGAGACGGATCTATTTATCCGGCTGTGAGAAAAATGAATATTTACGCTCTTCATGCAATTACTGTGTAATCAAAGTTGTTGTATGATGAAATCTATGTTGGATTCTTATTCTTTAAATTGATGAGATCTCCATACATGTTTGACCAAACACGACCAAGCACTTGCAGCTGAAAGCTTATATGAAGTAAAGTTTTGAATTATAGTAAAATTATACTCAATTTTGGTTGAAATTTTTAAAACTTTATATTTCTCAAACACCAGGATTGGATTTCTTCATCCTGACAAATTTGTTATCCCCTTGATTGCCAAAAATCCTACCAAAGTTTGTTGTAATTGGTTAAAAGATGGCTGTGTTATTGCCCTTTAAATAGATCCTCGTCTTTTTTTTTAAAGACACCCTGTGCTATAGGTCACATTAGGAGGTGTAACTAAACGCTGAACCAATGTTAAATTAAAGTGTAGCAGTGAGGCTCTTCCTCATTGTATGAAGAAGACACAAGTTTGACTCGAGTTTGGGCAAGTTTTTTGTTTTTTTAACTGAGCATCTCCATCTGTCTGCTGGGATGTTGTATCCAACTTTGTGCAAGCGAATCGGGTTAAGAAATTACTCAATTGTAACTATTTACTGACCTTTCTCTCCAGCCGGTCTATCAGTTTTGACAGTCTGTCTACTTGGGAATTCATCACGCCAGTTCCTGGAAAAGGGTTAAAAAAAACCTTCAAAGCATGAGGTTCAAATCTACTGCTAGGCCATAAGGATAAGGGCTCACTGATTGGGCCTCAGGCTCAATGGAAACAAAGAAACTTTTTTTTTTAATTGTAAAAAGTAATTTTAGATAATGAGAAAAACATTGGCAACATAATGGTTATTTAGTGCAGGGAAAATGTTAAACAGAAACAACAATGGGAAAGAAAAGAAAGTAGGATGTACCAGAGGTTAATGTCAAATACCGGCTAAACAAAAAGGAAATGATGCGAAAAACACTAGCTATGAGAACCGAATGCTTACCTCAACAAAGGGTTGTAAAAGAGTATTTGAATATTACATACAACTACATAGGAACAAAATTATCAAGGCAAATACTTCCTTCATAAAAAACAAAAGAGAAAATAATCTCCTTCAGACACACTCCAGAGAAGAGACATGTCAGCCCACACACTACGTCAGGAAAAATAAAAACCATTTGACAGAACACGGAAACTCGCGTCCTGTACAACTTCTGTCTTCCTTATCCCCCCTCCTTTTTTGTGTTTGTCACTCTCATGTAACACACTTCTAACCTTCAGCACTTATATGACCTTGTTTTTGTTGCAAGTGCTGTAACACTCTGACTAAAAACATAAATGACAGTGTTTGGGCAGAAGTGTCATACATCCTCAAACTCAACCGTTCAACACAAAAGATAACTTTTGGACAGTTCATGTCCCTACTAGAAATTCAAGTAAATACTCTATGCATTTACAAATTATTATCGTAAGAGACCAAACCACATTTCAGAACACTTTCAGTTTCCAGGAAAGCATTCATTGACAGATACCATTTTGCAGGTGCTCAATCACTTACAAACCAAAAAGACCTTTCTCTGCACTTAACAAGAAACATAGCAACCATTATGATTTCTCTACAATCAACAACTCACTAGTTCTAAGCTGTGACATCTAGAAAGATGCAGCTACAGGCAATACGTAAGAGTCTTGATCAAGAAAACAATATGCTGGAACATTAACATCATCACATAAAAAGAACTGAGTGAACGAAAACTAATAGAAATACACAAAACAATCTCAAGTTTGACACACAATTGTTTTTTAAAGTTTATACTTCCATTTTGTCTTGAGAGAGAGAGAGAGAGAGAGAGAGAGAGAGAGAGAGAGAGAGAGAGAGAAAAGAAACAAAGAGAGAGAGAGACAGAAAAAGAGAGACACAGAGAGGGTAAAGAACTGAGCATTAATTTATTTGCTTGTTGCATGTAAAGCCACCAGATTTGTGCTCAGGAGAAGAATATCGATCCAATTCTTTTTTTTGAGGAGAAAAATAAAAATGCAGATGGACATGTCAACGGTAACTGTGAGGGACACAGGCTTGCCAACTTTTTCAAAACCCAATCAAGGACACCCAGAGCTATAACATCAGATTACCCAACAACGAACAAAATTACATCAGGTGGGACTGGTTTCAGAGTAGTGTACGTAATTGGGCTCAGAAATTCCGTACTACTGATTCTGTCAGGGATAGTTAGGGGAAATTCGGATCAGTTGACAAGCCTGGAGATGTAGAAAGATACGCAAAAAGAAATAGGGCTTCGCAACGGGACCTTCCAACTGTTCATGCAACGATAGGAAAAGAGGGGAGAGAACAATCACTAGTTTTGACTGGATACAACACACTGTGATCAGTGCCCAGATACAAGGGTAATCATGCAGTGATGTGTGACCATGTAGGAATTTGTTGGATTTGAGTAGAGAGAAGAACATTGATGAAATAAGAGCCATTTGGTGCTTGAGACAAGCTACGATGGAGAGACAAAATACGAAGAGGAATATGAAACAAATAAAAATCTGCCATTTCGACAGCTAGAAACAAGAGAAGAATGAGAAAAAAAACCTAGAGCCTCCCAGTGGCACCCTCCAACCACCCATGAGAAACCAGAAGGCACAATAAAGCATTAGAGAACAGGAAAGATGAATAAAATTGAACAAAAGAGACAGAATAAACGATTCTTGACCTCAACAGCGATCCAGTGATTGTAAATAATTTATGCCCTCTTCAGCACAACAATGTTATTCATTTAGAAGTCTGTCAGCTTCGATGCTACCTATAATAGTTTCCAGGGGTTGAGTGGTTTGCTTATTCGCAGCAACCCAGCAGACAGACATGCAAGAATCGAACTTACATCTCCTGCATGCAAGAGTGAAGAAAATAACTGTTACACCACAGGTGATACAAACCCCTATACAGTACTACTAAAAAAAAAATACAGCAACAGTCAAAAGAGCTTGATAATAAAAAAACCCAAAAAAAACCAGAGAGCTTATTAGAAAACAGAAAGCTTAATATAATATCAGAAAGCAGAGACACAAATATGAGAAAGAGTTTAAATTAAAACAATATTAGAACACAGAGAGTTAAAAACAATATAAAATATTAGAAAAAGAGAGCTTAAAACTATATTTTAAAAAACCCAGAGCTAACAATAATATTAGAAACCAGAGAGCTTACTTAAAACAATTTAAGAAATTAGAGAGCTTAAAACAATATTAGAAAATAGAATATTATCTTCAAGTTGTTCATTGGTCAAGTCTTCAACAAAGCAAAGCTCTCAAACTCTGTGAGGTAACAAACAGCATGCAGCAAAACGTTAACATCACACAGGAGACCCTATGAAATACCAAAAACCTTAGTCCAAATGTGAAAAACAAATTGCACAGAAGTAAATTTTTTAAGCTACAAAAATCGAACTACTATCCTTTTTTCTAAGCCTAGAATGTAACAAATGGACATTTTCATATTCTCCTGTTACTGGCATACATGGTGTACGACATAAAAAGTTCTGAGACTCAAATGGATATACCCCACTCGGCAACTTCTGCACTGATAAAGATGAAAAATACTCTTGCTCCACAACTGTACTGCCATTCAAAGGCAGAGTGACTTATATGCATATTTCATGATCTTGAAAAAAAAGGAAAAAAAAACGTTAGATGCTTAGCCCTATGAATGCTTCCAAACATGGTTGCTCGGAAATGTAGATACATCACTCTACCATCGACAATGGGATTGAGATCAGTAACAGACATAACTTTACCACTTTGAAAACCACCATTTCAGAAGAAAATACCTTGTCCTGCCTTTGACATAAAAAGCATATGGCCAAGACAAACAAAATAAAAGCTAAAAAAATAACCACTTGATTTTGACAGATATGTCACTATGCCTTGCAATGGCAGTGTAATTGTAAACTGTAACAGTCCCATTTTTTAAAAAATTGATCACTTAGAGAATGCAGGCATGACCTTGTCCGGGCTAATCTGGGCCGAGTGGGATACATGATCCCACAGACAAATGAAAATACACAAAATTAAAAACTTCCCTTCTTGGGAATCAAACTCACATCTGCAATTCTCCTAATGCAGTGTGAAGATTGGCAGGGCATCTTTTATATTTGAAAACAACAATTTGGCGAACTGACTGAGAAAATATTATACTATACCAAAACGACAACAATGACAATATTCCACTACCGCATGAAAGATATGTTAGTCCATGGATTTCTCTCAGTATGTGTCTTAAATAGGGTCTATTGGTCTTTACTTCTTGCCACACGGAAGATATGATGACATAAACACATTTTGCAATACACCAAACTGACGGGAAATTTTAAAAATATATTAGATAAAGAAAATTTTCAAACAGAAAAGGTGAAGAAATGCAGATATAAAAATCTATGAGCAGAGTACAGAGCAGTAATATTGTACATCCTCACAGCATGAAGTACAAGATAGCTCTTTAACAAATGTTTCCTTCATGAGCACTGTATTACTATGCTACAACATTCGGTGAAAAGGAGAAATCATCTAGAAGTTGATTTCACTGCTAAAGGTTAACTCTTAATTAGTTCTGAAAGACTGCTTTCTATTTCACTTATTAGTCTTTTACTAAACCGTGTTGACTTGAAAATAACAATAATTTCTAGAACTCTATATCATTTGTGGTCCACATTAGTTTGTTTGGGCATTCACGGAAAAGGGGTTGGGGGTTGGGAGGGGGCATATATGTCATCAACAATTTAACAGAAAACATAAAAATCTATGAGCACATGCAGCCAGATTTTTATTGAGGCTAAGCACTCTGTAAAAGCAATTTACAGGCATTATTATACTTATAGATTTTAATAACTAAAGAAGCAATAGTTTCATTATAGTTTTGAAACTTTTCAACTATGTATCATTGCATTTATTGCAAATAAATGTCTGCTCCATCAATATAAGGTAGAAAAAGACCCAACCCCAGTGCCAATTTATTCAAGAGGTATTGGTGGTGATACAGTTAGTGTGTTAGCTATTAGGGCAACAAGGCTGGCTCACCAGAACTGTGTTGGCGAGTAGGCTGAGCAAATAAAAAACCTGCCACAACACAGTGGGGAGGATATTAAAGGGTCAACATCAAGGTCAAGGTTCAACATCAAGTTCAAGAACACAATTCAGCTAGTTACAACACAAACAAATAACCAGTGCTGCTATTACACCAGGTTAAGATTAGGAAAAAATACTGAGGCAATAAAGCCAAAATTCCAAAAGGTTAGTAGTTAAAAATTTGCAACATCAAAGAGAATAAAAATGACGCCAAAAAAAATCCTGAGGAATGAGCATACCTGAATTCACTTCAATCCATTCAACGACTGTTGAGTATTAGTAACTCAAGGTTAGCAGGGATCATTCATCAGCAATTTCACAAAAATTTCATTTTTGATTTGCTTATTTATGTACATCTTGGAACTACAAAGATGTTTTTAGTCCATGCTTGGTTAAAAAGACAAGGAAAAAAAGGTTTCTCAAAACAATAAAAGCCAATTGAAAGATCATGCCCCGAAAGAGTCAAGAAATCAGTAATGATTATTTTAACAATCTAAGGCCAAAAATTTAACACACTTGCATTAGATATAAGCACTTGAAGTCATTACCATTTTCTCACAGATTTACGTTTCTTAATGTATTACCTTTAGTCTCAACTAAATTACACATTTTGATAAACCTATTCAGTCGAAGAAAAAAAAAATCACTTTTGACCATCATACAGGCAAAGGAAATAGACTCTTGACAATCTCCAGTTAGTCAGTCTTAGAAGACAGCACAAGTACACGGTCCCACTGAGTTACACTTTCCGAGCCATTATTCTCGCCAAATAACAACAAAATATTTACTGTAAAACACAGGGTCTTTAAAAACAGAAGCAAAACACTAACAAATGGTACCAAAAAAGCAATCTGCATATTCTTACACTGTCAGAGTTTCAACAATCCAGTATCTTTCCGAAGTCATAATGCAAAAGTTCTCCTTATAACGAAAAAAACACCATTTTATCAAGACTGTTTTATTTATAAACATATACGAAGGTCCAAGCACAGACCTTACATAGTACACAAACAGGAAGATCTTGGCTCAGACAACCACAGTAAATAATTACAAAAGAATTAAACATTTAAAAAATATTTATGACAGTATCACAGTCTGAACATCAGAATCTATGTGTAGGACCTACATGGTTGTCCGGGAGAGTGTAGGAATACTAAAGGGTCGAGTGCAAAAGTAAAGAATAGTCCCCCTTACCAAACAGTATCATTGGACACACTTTTACTATCATTAAAAGAACAGCATAAAATCATTATACTTGTCTTTTGTATGGAGTTAACTTTCTATTTCAGCGCAGTTAGGTCAATACAGAAGTAGGACCTCCAGCAAAGTATCCATCTCTTATACAACTGAGTCAAGTCAAGACTAAAAATAATTATAATTAAAAAAACAAGACAACCCTTTTGGCAAGTCATTCAAGTCCTGACCCCCGCCCCCCTCTTCCACCCACCCCATCCCCCACCCCACTGAGAGTAAGTTTAGAGGGTGTTAAGTCCCAAAGACTCCTGGAACAACTGAAACAACTCAAGTTCATAAAGCCCCTCTTTCTTGAAAGTCACACTTTGTCCCTCTAAACACGAGTGTAGCCCAACACCATCATTATAGTCAACAATAAGCCTCCGATAGAGTATGTACAGAAGGGTGGGGGGGAATTATCTGGGGCATATTCTTTACTTCTGCCTGCGTAGACTTCTTCAGTGGAGCTAAACATCTGGGGACTGTTAAGTGCTGATCTTGGACACCACCAGCGGTCACTGCATAGGTGTGTGGAGGATGAACGGGTTACAGGGATGAGTGAAGGGGGTCAAGCTTTCTCCACAGGCACAGACAGGGAGGGTGGAGCTGCACACAATGCTATCTTGCTCTCTTCTAACAAGGATCTGTGCACTCTACAAGGATCTCTGTGCAGCAAAAGTACACTGACACATCCCAAACTGACTTACTATACAAAAGACTTTTTCACTTTTATAAACAGTGGAACAAGAAGAGTGTTAAGTAAACAAGTGTGCAAAAGGACAAGTTAAGTTATTTACAGGATTGGGAAGTGAGCTACTCTTTACTTTTGCCCCAAAAAATAATAAAAGAAGGGAAATTGGTCACTAAAGCAAACTGGCTAGGATGGAGATGGTGGTCTATGCACTACTTTAATCAAAGGGATGGGGAGGGTACTACTGGTTATTTTTGCCAGCAGCAAGGATGGGGAACTATTTGTTACTGGTGCCAAAGGTATAAGAAGCAGGTTTCATTCCACTTTTGTTGCCAAAGGTTGAGGAAGAGGCTACTCCTTTTAAATGTTAATCTTTAAATGATCTAGCTGATTCAGAATACAGACAAGGGAAAGCCTAATTGTGTCTGACCATGGGGGTCACCGTGTCACACAGCTGGGGGATGTATATTGCAACCCATACCAGATATATTCTCACACATCTGGGCACTCTGTGGCCTTGACCTACCTTCTCCAAGTGAGCCTGGGGCGCTGACCTGTCGCTTTGCCCGTCGCACAACCCGACCTGGCACGATGCCACTGGCTGAAGGTTTCTTGATCACGTCTTCTACCTCCAGGGGTTTGATGTCATCTCTGGGGTAGCAGAAAAAAATTACTCACACTTGACATCTGCATTTGATGACCATGACAAAGACAGATCTAAAAATCATTTGATGATGATGAAATGACATATCTAAAATCATTTGATGATGATGATAATGACAAGCCATATCTAAGATCGTAGAATGGCATCAGTGGTGAAATGGATAGGTTCTTTGTCATTTGCTTCCTGAGGAAGTTATTTCATAGAGTACAGTCAACATTGTCCAAGACAACCACCAACTGCGGAGGAGAACATGTGAATATCTTAGACAAGGTCATTATCATATTTTTAAAACACAAGGGGAAAGTGGGAAGTGGTAATTTAAACTGGTAATCCGCTTGGACAGATGGCCTTTGGATCAAGTTTAACTGTGCATCGGTATCGCCTGCTGCCAGATAGGACGCAGTTTCCTTCTCGGTCCGGGCAGTCCCTGACAAGCAGTGTCGAAACAAACAAACCAAGAAATTTGATGAAAAACATTCCCCATTCCAGAATGAAACCACAATACTGGAGGGCATCCACACATAACAATCTTGATCCTAACAGATTTCATGAGGCTTAGTCTTGTTATCTGTGAACAGGGTGGACAACAGCAATGCTGGAAAGAAATATACAAGCACTGCAGACCACATCACAGTACCCTCTAATCACCCATCAAAAGTCACAATCTCCTCACCTCTCCTCCCGTGCCTGAGTGTCTAGTATATCCGAGGCCGCCTCCATTGGACGTTGTAGGGCAGACATCTGGTAGATTATCTCTCGCATGATGAAACGAGTAATGAATTTGTCAATGCGGTTCGACTCCTTGTATACCTGAAGAGTTTTGAGTGAAAAATGTAAGTTAAGAGAAGCATACTATCACAGGCACTCTTGTTTCATGAAATAGCAACACAAACAGACAGAAACACAGGAGGGGAAAAACAACAGAAGTTGAACCTTCTAGTAGCGCACTCTAATCACAGAAAAGTAAACAGCTCAAGCCTGTTTTTCAGCAATCACAATACGTCCACTGCGGTCGAGTACGAGTAAACAGAAGCACATCAACAAGATAACACTAAAGTAATGGAGTACTGGGAAAGAGTAATATAGACAGAAACAATGGAGGGAAAGAAGTAGGGCCTACCAGTACCACCACAATGACAAGAACTAAGAAGCATTTTCATCTTACTTTAATCCCCATAACTTACGGTAAATAAACACTCAGACATTGATCTTCTTGTCTCTGATCATAATAAAATCTGTAGAGTAGTGGTTATGTGCTTCCCAGTCACACGAAGGAAACACAAATTCAGTTTTGGAGCGGGGAACACTTTTATCGAGTACCTCTGTCTCTCTGCTAGGATGTATCCCTCTTGGCCCACTTGGATCTTACAGGCAGGGTCAAAGCCCACCTCCTACTTGATCTAAGCCATGTCGGGGGGGGGGGGTGTAAAAACACCTATATTTATTTTATTATTAATGTTCGTGTCAGATCAGTTTTCTTAGAGGGAAAGATCTTGGTTTGAATAATATGTCCTCGGGTGACATGCATTTGAAGTTTGCACACTTCACTATAATACTGAAAGGAGATAGGAGTAAATAAAATAAGCACCCACCAACTAACCAATCTGTAAGGACAAAGAGTCGAAGAGACAATAGTGAGTTGACTAGTTACGCAGACCTTTTCTACCATTTCCATCTGAGCAAAAAGATCACATTGACACAAAAATTGCCATTTTACCATTGGGAGAAAGCAAGACAGATAACAGAAACAACAATGAAAGAAAAAAAATGAGCATAAAGGTCACTCAGTGAAAGCAAAGGAGTAGAAAAAGATAGACAAACAGAAACAACAAAGGGAACGGAAAGAAATGGGACCTACCAACAGAGAGAAAGGAAAGAAGGAGGAACTATCAGTGGCACCCAACAACCATTTCCCCATTTTTACCTTGGAGGTCGTGTAGAGCACATTGGTCGTCTTCTTGTTGAGGTCCTCTAAAAGGCTGAAGACTTCCCGAAATTCTCCGAGATGTTGAGCAAAGTAAGTACACAGTTCCTCCGTGTCAATGTTACTGGAAGGTAAAACAAACAACAGTTATGACAACACACCCCTCACACACATAATACATAAGTATGTGTTTAATACAAAAATAGTTAAGTCACAACTGAGAATCCACACTTTAATGAAACAGGGAAAGACAACGTGCTTCCTAGCCATGTGGACATCCGGGAAAACAAGCAGGTCGATCTCCTGGCGAAGGAATCCTTGTCACTTAAACTTCTGTTGGGATCAATGAAGAACACCCTCACACAGGCAGACTTCCAAAATAAAGTTAAAAACTACACCTACAGTCTGTGAGAGAAACACTGGAATGAACTATAAAACAACAAACTCCACAGTATCGTGCCCAAACAGGGCCCGCGAAAATGTTCGGGCCTCTCTAGAAAACACAAAATCATTTTTACTCGATTGCGTATTAGACATACCTCCCTGACACATAAGTATCTACAGGGAGATGAGAAACCACTCTGTGTTGAATGCCATACATATTGTCATTGGCCTTTACACAAAGATGTGTTATTTTAATGTCATGTAAATTGTTATTTTTTTAGATTGAAACTTTTACTGCAAAATTTTTAACCAATTAATCTCATAGTGACCAAAACCAAGCCATGCTGTGAACTGTTGTGAATGCCAATAACTTGTGTTTCATGTGCTCATATGACCTTATGCAGTTGCGAACACCTTAAAATTCTTACTAAACAAGACACTCCCTTCGCATTACATTGCATAAAAATGTTATTGCTAAGTTTCTTTTAAAGCTAAGAATGAATGCACCAATAAGTGAGGCTTTTCCGGGATTTTAAAGGGCATTCATAGGCTTTTTAGAGCTCCATTTATTGGCACCACTGCTCACCGTTCTTCACTCTTCATTGAAACATATTGGCAATAGTTGGAGGGCTTCTGAGACTGAACATGTTCCTATTCATCTTTAGTTGTTCAGGCAATTCAAACATGTCATTTTACAACTGATACAGTAGATATCGGCTAAGGTTTCCAGAGTTTTTACGTGTAAAGCATTGAGTTAAATTTAAACTAAGTTCAACGGTTATGGAAAATTGTGACTGTGAAGTAGGCACTAGATAACTAAAACTAGAATTAGGTATCTGCTGCAAATATTATGCTTCAACATGCGTGTCTACGGCTTCTATGTCTGACAAAACTAATCTAATGACCAACAGAAGCAAACATTGTTAAATTCTAAACAGGAAATAAGAAGGCCTAACTGCGGATGGCGAAATGAACCATATTAATACCTGACAACAATAAACTGAAACAACAAAATTCAGATCTAGCTTAACAATAACAACAATAACAACAAATCAAAAGCAACAACAAAATACTAGATCTAGATAAAGATTGAAATACTTTCGAACTAAAAAATAACCCAAAGACCAAGCATTGCTGATCGAATTACTTACAAAAAGCATCAAAAGTAGAATCTAGAAGAAAAGAGCAGGTCTAGTCCATGCATGCTGTCTGTTCCCCTTGTCTTCTGTCCCTTTTCAGTTTCATTTTCTCTGACTGTGTTGCAAGTGAAATTGGTGGTGCTTGGCTTCTTGTACTTATTTGTTCTTCCTTCCTGTGCCATCTATGACGGGAATTCTAACTTTTGTAGGCTCGAATATGGGACAGCTTCATGACTTCTCTGCTCCGTTTCTGTCCAGTGTGCACAAATGTCTGATTGCGAAGTTTCAGGCGGTGATGCAGGCAAAGGGTGACAAAAAGTTTTACTAAAATTTTAAGGCAAGTGGCTTAGCATTCTTGGGGAATTTTAGGCGTAATTTTCCTGCCATACAGGAGACAAGGGTTTGCTTGTCAGCATGGCCATGGAGAACCTGCTTGCACGTGAATGTGTACAGGTTTTCCATTTGCGTGACAATATTTGTCAAGAAGTGGCCTGGCATTTTCAGTCCATTCAAGCAGTTGTCATAATTTTTGAAAAATGTTAAAATTTCAATTCCTCAGATAATTTCTCCTGTGTCATTCTGACATAGAGAGTCACACTTAGTGCAGAGCTCGTTGTCCACTTCACTAGGGCCAATAGGTAGCCTTCTATATATGTACGAAAATTGTCCTTTTGCAGCTGCTGACAGGATGTTAAATTCACACAGGACAGAGCATCATCTTCAATATGTTCTTTGAAGTAATGGTCAAGGGGATATTTATTTACTGTAGTAGCTACTGTTGATGGAGCCTTGGACATATTCAGAAAAAAAACTGTCGCAATCGTCTTGACAGCTTTTAATTGGGCTCAATGTTAGTAAACAGTCGAGCATCACCTGCTGAAGTGCAGATTGGAAGTTTAGGACACTTAAGTTACCTCGATGAACTTCCTTGCCCCTTATTGCGGCAAACAGATTCCCTACAATCCTGACTCAGGCAACTAGTGATAATGTACTTTATTTCTGGAATAACTGATCATGAACAAGGAGCTGCAGACGTCTGAGAGAGATTCGCCAATCATCTAGGCATGGAAGATGTCTTGAGCCAGACATGGGTTTGAGGCTCTTGAGCCACTCAAAACATTCTCAAGGAAAAGATGGCGGGATGAAGATGTTGATATGGCATGATTGGATGGGGGTTTTTTGTTGTTTTTTTTACTATTGAGCAAAACTGTTAAAACACGTGAATAAGTTGCTGTTGGTTGACCCCAAGCAACAAAAGCAACCAATGTTGTAATTCCAGCGTATACAGAGAGACTTAACACTTGAGTTGCAAGACATACTGCATTGCACTAAAAGGTGGCAATTCAATGTGTGTCTTCTTTAATTTGGGGGCCAATTGTACAGGAATTTAACAGTCCGCCAGATAAAATTCTCTATGTGCTTCCAGAAAATGATGTTGTTCCCTTGCCCGAAGCCATGCCTTTTCAAATTGTTTCGTACAGTTTTCAAGAGATGGAGAGGGTCAAATAAGACGACACTCATTGTGCTCAAAGCATGATTTGTCCACTGACACTCCAAATACCTGTAAGGTTGCTCGGTTGTTTGAACCCTGGTCACAAATAATGGCTTTAACATTTACACCAATCTCCAAAAGTGTGCTAAAAGCTTCTTTTATGAGGGCTCTAAGATGTCTTCACTGATGGGACCACTGGAAAACAGTATCCTATTGGCTGCTTCCATTCGGAATCAAGTCCTTGGACCATAAAAACTAGAGCGTGATTGGCAACAAACTCTGACTTAAGGTAAGTGCTATAGTCCTCAAGACCATCAACACAGTCCTTCTTGACATTGTACACAACGTGCTCTTTAATAGACATTTCATCAAAAGTAAGTAAGCAGACTTTATCTGATGGATTCATGGTGGACACTTCTTCGGGGGCCTGAATGATACGGGGGCAAAATCCAGTGTCTATGGTCACATTCCTCAATGATGTCTTCAGTGTACTCACAGACAAGTAAAGTAAATAACTTTCTCAGGAGACGATATGTTCTTGGGGAAGAATGAAGCATGGACAGAGCAAATCGCCTTATTTCTTGAGTACAACGATAAGCTTTGTAACCTTTTTTGCTCATTTGCTCATTGTGTGCCATGACAAAGTCTAAGAGCTACTAAGATACTATGAGGGTGTTCTTCCCAAATATGTAATGTTCACCTTCTTTCCGTATTTTCAGACTTCAGTTTGCTGTACTTGAGGCTTTCTCTACATAGTTTTTTTTTTGTAGAGCAGCGATTCGATTCTTCATTTTTTTATTTTCGGCAACGGGGTAGCCCACTTGCATGTCGGTGGAGGAAAAGGAGCTTTTACTTTACCTGTACAGGCATTGGCAAGACTTTGTGAAAGACAAGGTTGTAACATGCTTAAAAGTTTTCTTTCTCTGTGTGATGGATGATTTGGGGTCAAGTGTTCTGCTGGATTTGGCACGTCATATAGGATGGGTACAGCAGTTTAGTTCCATCAGCGTTAAGTAAGCGGATTTATGAATTGGTTATCATCAAAATGATTGGAGCACAGACAATATTATTAAGTAGGGAGTGCTTTTTTTCATAAGATCTTGAGGCTGAGAATTCTTCACCCATGTTTTAGATCTGGTGTGATATAAGAGAAAAGAAGGTATGGTATAGCTAAACAAGCAACTACTGACAGTACTATACATGAAATTACTAGCATGGAAGTGTTAAACATATTTCAAAAACAAAATATTTTACATTGTGGTATTCAACAGTGCCTATATATATATATACACTGTCTTCTTTAACTGCAATAGCATTTGAGTTTATATACAAGTTTTTTTGCATGAAAGTAAGAGCAGGAAACACAGGGTACTGCAGTACATACATTTGAAATGAGAGTAAATGGAGACAATAATCTTTTTTTTGTTAAGAGTAATGTTACTGGAGATCTAGGATTGAAGGGCAGTTCCACATTCCAAAGGGCAAAATCGACAAACAAATGGCATTTCAACAATGGAAATCTCGTGTGAGAACATTATGTTTCCAGTTAATGTCACTATTAAATCACAGTTTAGTCAATGCCAGTTTGTGAATGGAACCCTGCAAGTGCACGAATACTGTCATTTTCATTGCAGCTTGTACAATAACTAACCTTTTGATAATTATATTGTAAATGTACAGTCGGTATAATATCCAAACAGTTTGTACTGTTACATTTAACTTGCCGAGTCTCTAGAGAACCGGAAAAAATATAATTCCGGCAGTTGGCGTCTTAAAATTGTGGCAGTTTATAGCTCCACAATATTGACTTTTGCAACTTCATTTTCAGGTGGCAATAGCTTTAGAATTTGAAACCATAGTTAGAAACTAAAACTTCGCTGATTGGTTGAGCGAACAGCTGATCACAGATGGGAGTAGCAACAGATAACATGTGTGCTACCATAATTTTCTCCTCAAAAAATGCAAAAAAGAGCTTCGAAACAGCAACTGTAGTGCCATCTGAGAATAAACATATAGCCGCTGACACTTTTTTGGGCTGAGAAAACCATCTTGTGGAGTAGAATATTTGGTGGCAGGCTACAAACATCCCTAAATTTGGCAATCATTCAGCAGAAAAATGGATCTTCCCAAGGCAGATTTCAATTTTTTAATTGTGCTGAAAACAAGAAAGTTACAAAGTGATTTCTTTGAGAGCATTGTTCTTGAAAGTGTGTATTCAATCAGTTCGCAGAATGCTTCTGTATCATCTCAGATAGGTAGAACTTTATAATATTGAAAGTTATTAAGTGGAATTCCTTGTAGAATGAAAGCATTAAAAAAGTAACGGGGATGTTGTACCCGTTTTTCACGTGGCCTGAAAGTCAGAAAGGCAAAACTCCCGCACAAGGGAAACTTTTGCCACCAGTTCACTGTGACGTCACAGCTGCGTAAAGCATTGCCGCAGATTTGACAGTTAATTTAATCCACCTAAATACCACAGAAAACACCATACTCATGAATAAGGACGTCATTTTTTAAAGAAGGTCTCTTTCAATTTGCTGGTACAACTAATTTGGTTTACCTTTCAATTTGCTGTCACAACTAATTCGGCTTAATTTTGATTTTATGTGAATTTAGAGATATTATGGACTTCAAAATAACTGCATATTATATCCTCCTAGTATTTACAGTGTTTTAGGCATAATCAGAGTGAAGATTACAAAAGAGGTAGATTAACGTAGATTTATGTGTAGCCTACATTGTATGCCTGCTTACTCATAACGAAAATCAGAAAAAAAAACAACCAATAATTAGAGAATATACACACATCAGATCGACATGAATGCAATGGGACACTTTCATGGTACTGAAAGGGGTAGGAACATATCTCTAGGTTCAAATATGTAATTGAGCATTTTGTTAAGTAGTTATGCCTTGATGGTCCAAATCCATCAGAGTAGGCTTCTTGTAATATACTTACCAAAATATAATCAAGTTGAGTTCATAATTTAATCAAACATTCAAATCCTTTTCCCCCAACACTTTCTGATTTTTTCCCCCTGTGCAAACATAGATTTGTATACATTCAGATATAACTGTTGTAACAAAATGAGCACGTGTATATCAATGAACCATGTTTGTTTGGGTTTTTAAAAATTGAAATGTGCATAATTATCTAGGTACTGAGATGACAATTTTAACATTTTCTATTCAGTTGTCCAAAGAAACATAATAATTCCAATTTTCAGCTCAATCCATCCATAAATCTAGTTATATGTAAATGTCCAATATTTGTGTATCGATTCCCCCTCTTTATTTATCTTCTGGAATTCTCACCAAAATACCTATAATTTCTGACATGTACACAGCCATAACTTTTTTTATGGACTGATTTTCAAAAAGTAAGAAGCACTTTGTTTATAAAAATATAAATTTTTACATCTTTGTTGTTTATAGGTTAGTAGTGCCTTTATTTTAAAAAGCTGTGGTATGGCTAACCAAAGAGGATGATTAAAAAATCAAATCTTTAAACCAAAATATAATGTAAGATGAAAAAAGGCCTTAAAAAGAGAGTACCTCAGACACCTTGATACAGGGGTTACTCCATTATGATCTGAAACGCTATAGTGCGGCCAAAAATTTGTGGCGCAACTTATCCTCAAATATCTATTTAAAGGGACAATCAATGTCACCCATACTTTGCACAGCAGTTTGTCTCAATTTGTCTTAACTTAATCATGTTTTTCCACAACAGTTGAGGCTAGATTAAAAAACTTTTCTTCATAAATTTATAGAAAAGAACAAATCTGCTTTAAGCGGAAAATGGAATTGTTCACAGCACTTCCCGCTTCTCACACACATTTTATATATGCATAGGGGTTACGTCACAGGTCACCAGTGATACTTTTTAGTGGCAAAACTAGTTACAACAAATTAATTTTATAGAGAACACTTTTTTGCACTAAAAGTTCCCAAAACAAGCGTACAATAAAGATAATCTCGCAATTAGAAAAAAAAGGCGGACTTACTTTTAAAAGCTATATATATCGTCCCAGCTGTAAACTTGTTAAAATCAGTGGAGACCACCACTAGGATTTTTTATTAGTATTTCTTAAGGAATTTTCTAGAAAAGAGCTAACAGGTCTTTACCGCACTTTAGTCCATAGAGAGGGACTTTCAACTATGACTTACTTGGTGTTGTGTGAGTCAATGTCATCAAACAAGGCTTGTAACTCCTCTTTTCCCATGACTCCATCAGCACAGTAAGACACAAACTCCTCCCATGAGATGAAACCATCATCTGTAATTGTAATTGTAACTGTTAATGCTTTATTGCATCTCCAACATAATTTAAATAATCTAGGGGGCAGACTTCCTCCACCTTGCCTATGAGGGTCAACTCCAAATTATGCATACAAGCACATTGTCTCAGCAGACAGATGGCCATACTCTATAAAAAAACCCTCCACACTTGAGAATCCTATACTTCAGCAAGTAATGGCAGAGACATTCATTTCATTATCATCTATGAGATCCAGAGCTATTTAACAGGAGCTCTTTTTCTATACTACTAGTACTTGCATTCCCTCATAAAATGCAACTCAGAGATCCTACACTTAATTTCTACAATTACAATAGCCCACCCCCTAACATAATAATTATACATAATAATAGTCGGTCTAACATAAACTGATATGTCCTTTAACATTCAAAGAGTACGAGAAAATATAGTTCTGCTAGTATGGTAAAAAGAGAAAAAAGAGAAAAAAGTAAAGGAAATACATTGTCATTTATAATAGAAAGAAACTTGTAATGATCGCAAATACCACAAGTTTCCAAAGTAGTACCTTCTCCATTCCTAAAAAGGTTTGCTTGTCTGCCGTATATATATTTTGGGGGGCAAAACCGTATGGCTTCATTTGAGACCTTCAAGCTCTTTTCACTTTTAGAAGAATTTTCCACAAACAGAGCACATGTGGTATGTTAAACCATTGTCAAAGTCATGATTTGAGTTTTGATTTTCTTCCTTCTCTGAATGGAATGCCTCTGCTTTATAAACTGTTTTTTATCAAAAGCTTTACTGCCACTAACAGTACCTAGTGGAAGCACTAGATTGTCCCGGTTATGAGAACACCAAACATTAGCTCTGTCTGACTCTGCTTTATATATATATATACATATATAGTAAAATAGAAAGAGTAAATAATTTCTCTTATTTGTCTCTTGTATGAGTAAAGAAAGATGTACACAATAATAATGGTCGTACCCTCCAACCACCAACTCATCTTTCTTGCCATACAGACGACATATATATATATATACTACTTTCACATACAAAGGAATCAGCCTGAGATTAATAGATGGAGTATGGAGTACGAACAAAGATCAATATTTGGTCAGCAGTGTACACAATGGTAAACTAAGACACAAATTATATGAAATATAAACAAATGTAACAAAAAAACTAAATAGTATATTTCATGCCTTTGTAAGTCACTCAAGCTGAACAAGCTAGGCAAAAGTTTTCTGTGAACACATTCTCTTTATTTCTCTCACATCCTAATTTAGAGTAAACTGACTTTCACTTTCAAAATCTAATGTTATGATACATACAGAAGAGTACTATCTGTATATCATGAACTTACCATTTTTGTCAGCCCGTCGAAAGACCTGGAAATAAAAATAAACAATCACACGATATCATATTGTAGCATGGAGTAAAATTCAGAATGCAGTGTTTCAAATAGCACCGGAGCTATTCTGAACGCGGTGTTTCAAATAGCGCCTGCTTAGTCTAGTGTTAGGGTCAGGGCAAGGGTTAGATTAGGGACCAAAGCAAAACATGCCTGAGGCTATGAAAAACGCAAATCGGAATTAAACGCGGGAATCTTAACAATCTTCTGTTCAAGCAGAGTAGAGACCGAGACCAGCTTACATCAACAATTAGCCTGAAATCTAGATCTACTAGAATTGGGGCGAGCGGACGGACGGGTTCGTAACTCGCGGACTCAGTCTGAACGAGCGGGTAACGGATGGCCATGCGAGCGGACTGCGAACCCCAAGCCAGTTCCTTTTTTTGGGTCTGCTCCACAATTTTATTAACTGAGCAGGCGGGCGAATGGACGAACTCTAGCAGATGAGATACTCTACGCGAGGTTAGGCCCATTGTCTATTGTTTGTTAATTAGGCCTGATGTTTCAAACCACTAGCAGTGCCACAGGGAGTGAGAGAGGCTGGTGACATAGTGTTATGTGTGAAAACTTTCACCTCATGCGTGGGGCACACTGTGTAGCCTACGTTCCAATTATCGCAAAAGCCGTATAGAGAAATTTCCGCCATGAATGCCTAGCTACATGGCGTCGGTGGCCTAGTGGTTAGGCTCTCGGACTCGCAATCGTAAGGTCGTGGGTTCGAATCCCGTCAGGGGCCCGACGTCGTGACCTTGGGAAAGGCACTTTACACGAATTTTCCTCACTTCACCCAGGTGGGAATGGGTACCCGGCTATAGACAGCGAAAGATCTTGTCAATTTGTTAGTATTTCAGCGCTTAATCAGCTGCTTGCACTGTATGCTTCCCGGAAAGCTGAGAATGTTTTGGAGTATTCTATGGTCTGCTGGGGTAATAATACAGTGGAACTCGGATTCAACGAGGTCGCCGGGCCTGACCTAAAATCTCGTTGAATCCGAGTGTTCGTTATAGCAAACACAAAGTTTTGTGTAGAAAATTACAGGCACTGAGCAAGTAATGTATTATATATAAAGAGAAGTCACAAGTAGTGCTTGAAATGCCTGCATATTATGAGCTGTGTAAAAAAAAAAGAAAACCCGATTCGTTCAAATGCACACGCCTGTGTCATCTCGATTGTTTACCAAAAAGCTGTGTTGCTGTGTAGAGCCTAGAATAACGGCAACTTTTGATTTCATAGACCCGCGCACAATTCATTACGTAGATCTATGTCAAGACTAGATCTAGCTTATTATTGTAATAATGATCAGTTGCCGAGGGGGGCAAACACTGTGACGCGTTTGTATCTGTGACTGTGACGTTCAACGCCCGGACCGCTAGTGCCCTCCCCCCCTCCCCAACACACACACACAGTCACACGTGTGCAGGCCGCCCATCCGACCCCAACACACGCCAGAGTAGACACGTGTGCTAGCCAACAACGCATGTGTTGGTATGAAAAAAGGCCGCTGATTGGTCGCATGCAATCGGCTTAGTGAATAATGGTTCACGATACAGTTGCAATGGATGGTTTCCGGGAATAGATAAAATTCGTTGTGGGAGAAAAATGAGCGAAGCCATGTCTGCATGGGCTGTTCACCCTGGAAGCGACCTCGTTGAATCCGAGCTCGCTGATTTAAGTGCTCTTTGAATCCGGGTTATTTTTATTGATTTTAAAGAAGGAAAAAAAACGGGGAATCTATCTCATCTCGTTGAATTCGAGTTCTCGTTGAATCCGAGCTTGTTAAATCCGAGTTCCATTGTATAGTGTAAAGCGCATAGAGCCTGCTGTTGAGCAGGGATGCTATTTATTATTATTTACAATGTGGGGCAGGAAGGTGATTTTTTTATTAAATTGTTTTGGGGTTGTTGTTTTTTTTGGGGGGGGTGGGGGGTTGTAAGTAGTACAATGGAAGGAGTCGCCCCACGTCCATCCATTTGCCCACTCGAATACATGGAGTCTCTCCGTCCGCTCCCTCGCTAAACGAACTGTTGTCTCTATCCGAGATGTTGCGAGTAGCGAACTATAGCCTACTCGTCACAAGCGGACGGTTCGTTACCTGTCCGCTCGTTTGCGGGTAGTGCCAGCGAGTAGTTCGTTACTCGCAGACGCTAATTTTGCGAGCCCGACCCAACTCAAAGATCTAAATCTAGATCTATATATATATATCTAGATCTAGAATCTAGAATAGAATAGATCTAGAAGATTTGTTGCAGCACTGAGTCCAAAGAAAGTGGCTATTCTCACCCGCCCGGAAGTTCTCGCAAGATCAACTCCTCCCCTCTTCTCTCTCTCTCTGTCTCTTTCTGAATACTGTCTATCAGTGTGGACGATCAAATTGACCAAAACAAAGATAAAAAATGATGTTAAAACACAAAAGTAAATTAATTTGGTTGTCTACAAAGACGCTACAGCTATTTAACTTTTCGAATCGAGCCGAACTACGCGGGTCGCCATTTTGTTTTGCCCGGAAATTCTCGCACTACTCCTCTCTCTCTCTCTCCACTGCCCACAGACAAAATTGTACGCTTTTAGTAGGCTACAGTTGTAATGGAACGTTTGTTCACGGCACAGAATTCTACAATTTTTCTGTTATCACAGTGTAGAATTCTGTGGTTTAGGGTGAACGCAAAATTTGGTGAACGCGCACCGGGTGAGAATAGCCACAAGACTCGCCTGCACTATTCTCACTCCGGGTGAGAATGGAAGTGGCTATTCTCATCCGGGGTGAGAATAGAAAAACGATCTACCTCTCACCCCGGGTGAGACTTGCGACCGTAGGCTATTCTCACCCGGTTTGAAACAAGACCTGTTTTTCCTCATTTCGGAATACTTTCTATCGATATTGATGATCAAATTGATAAAAGCCATGAAAAAAATACGTTATAGCACAAAAGTAAGCTAATTTGATGGTCTTCAAAGATGCTATGGCTATTTCACTGTTCGAATCGAGCCGAACTACGCGGGTCGCCATTTTGTTTTGCCCGGAAATTCTCGCACTACTCCTCTCTCTCTCTCTCCACTGCCCACAGACAAAATTGTACGCTTTTAGTAGGCTACAGTTGTAATGGAACGTTTGTTCACGGCACAGAATTCTACAATTTTTCTGTTATCACAGTGTAGAATTCTGTGGTTTAGGGTGAACGCAAAATTTGGTGAACGCGCACCGGGTGAGAATAGCCACAAGACTCGCCTGCACTATTCTCACTCCGGGTGAGAATGGAAGTGGCTATTCTCATCCGGGGTGAGAATAGAAAAACGATCTACCTCTCACCCCGGGTGAGACTTGCGACCGTAGGCTATTCTCACCCGGTTTGAAACAAGACCTGTTTTTCCTCATTTCGGAATACTTTCTATCGATATTGATGATCAAATTGATAAAAGCCATGAAAAAAATACGTTATAGCACAAAAGTAAGCTAATTTGATGGTCTTCAAAGATGCTATGGCTATTTCACTGTTCGAATCGAGCCGAACTACGCGGGTCGCCATTTTGTTTTGCCCGGAAGTTCTTGCAAGATCTTCTCCTCCCCTCTCTCTCTCTCTCTCTTTCTGAATACTGTCTATCGGTGTGGACGATCAAATTGACCCAAAAAAAGTTTTTAAAATGATGTTAAAACACAAAAGTAAATTAATTTGGTTGTCTACAAAGATGCTACGGCTATTTAACTTTACCTTTAACTTTTCTAATCGAGCCGAACTACGCGGGTCGCCATTTTGTTTTGACCGGAAGTTCTCGCACTACTCCTCTCTCCTCTCTCTCTTTCTCTCTCCACTGCCCACAGCCACAGACAAAATTGTACGCTTTTAGTAGGTTACAGTTGTAATGGAACGTTTGTTCACGGCACAGAATTCTACAATTTTTCTGTTATCACAGTGTAGAATTCTGTGGTTTAGGGTGAACGCAAAATTTGGTGAACGCGCACCGGGTGAGAATAGCCAAAAGACTCGCCTGCACTATTCTCACCCAGGGCAGGGTGAGAATAGAGGTGGCCGGTGAGAATAGAAGTGGCCGAGTCCAAAAGACCATTTCAAACTTGACCTACCTAATTTGGGCCTTTCAATACAACATAAATTAGATCTAAATAGAAGGAAAAGATATGAGCCTGATGATACTGCCTAAGAGGGGCAAGTTTGAGGAAGTGACAATTTTTTTAAGTGAGAAAATTGGTGAATGGAAAAAGAGTTGGACCAGATAGCAACAGTCAACAGTAGTAACTTCGATTATTAGGCCTGTGTGTAGAGCTTGCAAAAGCAATGAAGTAAGCACAGTTAAATAGTAACGTAAGAGTCACGTAGAAACAGAATAGTTAAGTTCACTTACGTCCAAAAAAATTGATATTCCTTTTTCAACCTCAGTCGGATTCGCAGTTTGTTGCTCAGCCATCTTGATGAGATGCTTTGATCTAATGTATGCAATGGTTATGCCCCTTGACGCTCATAAAATTTTCAATTCGGCCTTTTCTTCACCGTTTCTCACTCCAATTTCATTTGAAATTCCCATCTCTGGTCGTTATAGGCCAAGGACAAATCAATATTGTTACAGGCTCCGCAATCTTCTTAACTCAAAACATTGCACAATATATTGTATGTTTGGTTTTTGTGACTCTGGCAAAGTATTTCGAAATTTCAACTAGATTTACATATCATATAGTATAGTCAATACCAGCTCAACGAAAATGCCAGACAACATACATGTACATTTATAATGTAGGCTATCCGTAATTTGGATTTAAATTGTATTCTCCTCACTCCTTTCAACTAAGACGAGAATTCTATTCTAGATTCTATTTGTTGTCAGTTCAGTCAATCTCGATGATAGAACTACGACTTGTAATTTGTACATTTAGCAGTTTAATAATTGTATGTTTGTTTGTTTGTTTGTTGTTGTTGTTGTTGTTGTTGTTGTTGTTGTTGTTGTTGTTGTTGTTGTTGTTGTTGTTGTTTTGTTTGATTTGTTTGTTTGTTGTTGTTTTGCTATGTAAGTTGCTGTTGTTCTTTTAGGCGGGGGGGGGGGGGGGGGTCTTTTCTTTATCTGAAATTTGGAACGTTTTATAAAGATCTGCTTTGTTAGAGAGGCCTAAGTATTTTTGGTTGTCTAGCTCCTACTCTTTGCTAAATCCCATGAATGAGAGGAAGACATCGAATAGAAAGTAAGATATTAATCACCACCCACCCCTTTCCTCACCATCCGTTGCCTTCCGTTACTTAATTCTGGTTAGTCAAAAAAAATAATGATAGCCTTATACATGTATCATTTCGGCTAAATACAGCGGTGATCCCATCCCCCCCCCCCAAAAAAAAAAGAAACAAAAAAAAAAGAAACAAAACAACAACAACAACAAAAACACTGCACAACTTTTTGTGTAAATATTTTCTCCCACACTGAAGTTTTGGGTTTCAAATTTGTACTCAACACTTGGAAGTCAAAAGGAATGTGTCTGATATTCATTTTCGTAATCCAGAGAATAGTTTTGCTCTAATCAACATAGCGCCTTAAAAAAACAAAAACATTTTCAGCTCTGCCCCCATTTTTGTAGCATGACGCGCTAATAGTTCGCATAGGCCAACAACTAAAAATCCCAACGATTGCGCAATACATTTTGATTTTGCAAGCTACAGTAAGTAGTCTAACAGACCAACAGAAGTTTTCAGATAGTTTTACTCAAGTTTCCTTTGCCTGCTGGGATCATGGATGGTTAAGATTAGTAAACAGCAGAGAGCTTTTTGTACTGAACATTTCTTCACCACCAACTCACTTTCGTAAGTTTTGCACAAGGTACTGAAATAATGTTAAAGTGCCCTTAAGGCCTCCTTTGATGTCAAGGGTGGAAATGTCCATCAATTAAGATCTGAAGAGGATCAGAACAAAAAATTCCCAGATAAAACGACCGCTTAACAGGTCAAACACACACCGTTCGAACCTCTTCCAACGTCACCATGGTGCAGAATTCGGAAGATGAGCCCCGTGAGACGTCTGTCCGAAGACGTCTGCAGCCCTGACTTTCCTACATCTCAACGGTCCGCGTTCTCAAGGCAGATCTTTATCTACGACTGTACCATTAACCTATCAGAGGGTAGCAATGTGTTCATGATTCATGATTCCCCGATCGTCTTGAAAAGCGTAAACATTTCCTGTGTGACAATTTATTCCTTGGCAAAGCCTATATTCACCTTTCAGGTTATACCAACTCCACAAATTATGCTGTCTATTTGGGGACAACCTCCCCCTCCCCCAATTATTGTCTCTAGAAACAGCTCAATACTGTGAGGTGTTAAGTGTGTGTGGCTTTGAGTAGCCTACTCATGGTTGAGCGGATCCTTGTGTTTGGTCATAACTGAACATTACGAACGACGTGCTAAAATTAATGGGTCGAGTCCAAAGGAAGACATATTATAGACCACTGGTTCTAGGAATTCCAGAATTTAAAAAAAGAATTACTTTGTATGAGAAAAGAAATTGTTTAACGGTACAGGGATGGAATGGTTAAATCTTAAAAATAAACGGAAAGGAAAAAAACAAACCATGCGTTTCATGACTTTCCTTACAAGATCTTTTAAATTGGTGGATTTTGCCTTTAGACATCTATATGTGTTTTTTTAGGAAATCCTTTTCCGTTTTCGAAAATAAGTTTCTTCTTCGGGAATTTTATGTCGAACAAATTCCTTTTGACTGAATTACATTTGTTCCGAATTTCAACATTCTAATACAAAGTTTGTGCGAGATATTTAGAAAAAAAGTTATTGTAAAGTTGAGGGATTTTTTTTTCGTTTTTAAATTTATTTTTTTTTGGTTTGGATCACCCTGTATTTCTGTAATGCTGTGGTCCCCCCAAACCCTGTTGTGTTGTGCCAAGATCTGTACGTTGTCCCAAAGCCATGTCAATTATTTCACTTAAGCAAGATTCTCCTCTGCGGATAATTTGGTCATCATCAGACATTCAACCCCCC